GAAATAGGAAAAATTACTAAAAGAAAAAATGAAATTTACCAATAAAAAACATTTTATTGGCATTTCGCCAATTTTTAAATTTTATAATCTGAATGCTAAAATAATGTAATGTTCAAATTCAATCACCTTAAAGATATAAAAAAAAATCCACAAGAAATTATACGATCTAGCAAAAACAAAAATTAAGAAAGAAACGAAAACCAAATAAATAAATAAATCGAGGAAAATGAAGAGATGAAAAAAATTATATACCTATAATTAAATTTAAAAAATTTAAGACAATCAAAAATTAAAAAAAAAAAGAAACTATAATAGCAACAAAGCTTTTGTAAAGAAACGTGACGTTTCCTAAAATTTATCTATTCCTACGTTCGCATCTTGTGATAATTAAAAAATATACGATGTATCTATGAATGATTTAGAAACCGATTAAAAATTTAACTACAGTCCAACTGTTAGCAATTAGACGACTAGTCAAAATAAATTAATTTTGTTTTTTATTTGGCGCATATTGTAAATAAAAATATTAAAACGTAATGCATATACAAGAGTGAAAAATAAATCTTCTAGTTTGGCGGTTTGAAAAGACAGGCAAACGCTGAAAATGAAGCAAAAACTTAAAATTAAAAAAAAAAGAAAATTTGAATTTTTATTTCAAAGATAAATATGGAACAAAAATAAAAACAAACACCGCTCGTAAAATTCTGAACATTTTAATTGAGACGAGACGTCTTAGTGCGATGAACAAAAAGAAAAATTCATTTGGAAAAAATTTTGAAACTATGCATATAAAATTATTAATAGATATTTCGTCCCCCTATACACATATTGTTTTAAAAAAAAATGATTTATTAACTGAACTTGAATATCGGAAATACTTGGAGTTCAACTATTCCGATCTCTTTTACTATCATGATTTTGTGTGGAATATTTCCAAAGAATGTGTCAAAGTGTTAGAATTGCGAATTTATTTTTAATGAATAAATTAAAAATATTTCAATTTAATATAAGAATTACAATTTGATTCACACTTACTGTTTTTGCATGAAAGTTCGTGAAACACATTTACTTTATCTAAACAACCAAATTTTTTTACCCCCATTAACTAAGACGATAGGTCAAAAATAGAATTCATCGTTCATTGTTTTTAGAGTTGGCAAACAGAAACGCATTTGTTTCTAATTATAACTGCAAGATCTTTAATTATTTTGTATTTGCTAATCCAGTAGTTCCAGTGAGTGCCATACAAGTCTCAAAAACTCTTAAAGACGCTTGATGGGAACATAACCATTATTTTCGTAAGAAGTAGTTTAGATGTTGGAATTTTTATTTTATTTACCACATCCCCTTTAATGTTATTTCATACTACTTCGTAGTGGAGGAAAATGTCATTTACATTTACGTTTACTTGAATAAAATGTTTATAATTTCTCCTCCTAACAAAATTTTTTCTTAAGATTTTTCGACTAAAGTCGTGGATATGGCTGAAAATTTTCTATTACTACCCCGTATAACATTGTCCGGTTTCAATTTAAATTTTAAACATATAATAGCGCTTAAAAAGGATCGAAAAATTGATTTTTTCGACATAACTTTCGAACCAAAATTTCATGGTAATCAAATGACCCATTTATTAGTGAGAACAGGTTCAGAAAATATTCACATTGCATTGATCAAGTTTAACACAAAATATCTTATAAATAAGGTCACTGCTAGATAGTAACATATGCACGGTGTAAATTAACATGAAATTTCCCGTTAACTTATATGATCAATAATTTGAGTTTACATGGCTATTGTGCTGACTCTCATTAATGTTTTTTATTTTAAATTGTTCTGTTATGAAAATTTTTTCATCTGAAAGCAAGAGTTTGTATTAAAATTACTTCTCCCCCTTTTTAGCACTTTTCCAAAAAATTTTTGAAAAAAAGCGCTTATTAGTTTCACTCTGTCCGTCCGTCCGCCGGTCCGTCCGTAGACATTTTTTTTGTTTACAAAACTTCTACACCCTTGAAGATAGAAAGCTGAAATTTAATACGTACATAGATCTTTACTTGAAACTTATTTCCGTTGAACAAAATTTTTACCTATCTCTCCCCCACTAAACTATACCCCCCAAAATCCTAAAAATGGCCTTTTTTAACTATTTTGTTGCAATGAAACTATAAGCATTTTTCAAATTTTGCAAACGCAGAAACATACTACTGTTAAACTTTAAAAAAACAAAATGACCGTTCAAATTTGCCGTTATCCTTTTTTTTCTAAATTTTTGATGTCGTTTTTCTTCTAGACCACGTTGTAAGAGCCTGAAATTTTAGCAGCTTTTAGAGACTAATAAATGGTTTATTTCGTTAGAAGAAAATTTTTATCCATCTCCACCCCCTCTCAACTTATCGACTCTTGAAATTTGTAAAATTTGAATTTTTGATATTTTATATTTCCGACACCTCAAGCTTTTTCAAATTTCCATAAACGCAAAAAGCTAACGGTGAATTCCGTGACATTAAAAAATTATTTTTCTTAACTCACACAATTAACCCTTAAAATCGAGCATTATGTTAGCCCCCCTTCCCTTTATATTAACTTTTGCTTTATTTCAAAATATTTTTAATAGTGTGGTAGCTATACATAGACTGTATTTGAAAGCAGTATTTTCTCTAATTGTTGAACTGTGCTACAATACAAACCATTGGTTTGACCCAACTTTATTTTTCTATTAACTTTTTACTTCTAATAATATTCCAGCCACTATGAGTGAATTTTTATGATGCCAAATTATTACAAATTATGGACGGTTGCCCATTTTTAATTTCTTACGTCACATATTAATTCATTTATTTACGCCATTGGTGCATAAATTGTTTACAATGTTTTAGTATTAGTTGTTTTGCAATGCATAATTATATAGCTTTCATGTTAGAAAATTTTCCATCACATACGTCATGTATAGTTTGGTGTGTTAATTTTTCATTGTGCTGTTTGTAGAATGTTTATATTGCAATGTTGCGCCGTGAAACTTGAACGTTGCTGTTTTTATAACTGTTGGTCATAGGAATTTTTTGAATCCCAAATAGCTCTTCATACTTTTTTTAAGTTAAAACTTTTTATGGATTTTGTAAATTGCATATGAATTCTGGGATTGAGTAAAATGTTTTTTTTAAACTGTTATTTACTGACCATTCAACTTAGTAATAGCTAACGACTTCTGCTCAAGAAAGGCTAATATCTCTTCAGCTTCCCAATTGTCTCCCATGGTTGACGAATTGAACTTGTTTCGAAATTCCTCGTAGTTCTGTGCTCTCAATTAAAATGCATTGATCCCTATACGACCTTCTAACATTCCTTTGTCTTATATTCTGATTGGAAACTGATTTTTCAAGTATAATGAAAACTTCTTAAATATATTAATCATCAGACGGTGTTTATTTTATCATTCTCTCTGATTTTTCCACATCAAATTGTGTGTACGTATAGTGAAAGTATTTTTTTTATGTAAATAAACAAAATTTTAAAAATTCTTGGCTTTTCCGTTTTACTTTTGGTAATTTCGGAAAATTTTAAAATATTTAATTTAAACATTAAAGTTTTTTTTTATGTTCATTTGCGTCTTTTTGTTTTTTGATTATACGAGGGAAATTATATGGTGAAAATAATTTACTGCATAAGATTGCCACATTGAATTCTGTGCTGTTTTGATTTTATTTTACCGTTGGCATTTTTATAATTATTCTTTCAAATGATTGTTATTATCTCAGATCATTCGATTGTTTACAAAACAAAGAATCGATAATTATCATGTCATGAAAGATGAAAAATGGAGTAAATGAAATGCAAGGAGAGTAAAAATTTGAGGGGAACTAAGGAAAATAAATAAAAATTTTCTTCAAATTTTTATATGAAAATTTGGATTGATGTTTGTACTTTTATGTGATTGAAAAGAGTGAAAATAAAAAGAAAAGTTCAAAAAAATATAATTTTAACCCAAATGACGGTCCGCGGCAATGGTTTAGTGAGCAAAAATTGGGCAATTTTTAAATAATTTTCAAAAACTTTTTATTCGAAAATTCTATCTTTTTTGAAACGGTAGTTATAAACAAAAACTTAAATGTGTTAAAATTTCTCCAAATTTTCTTAAAATCTATGTAGCTCGGGATCGGTTTCGATTTAACACTATGTCCCGAACAAAAATTTTACTCATTTTCGTCCCTCTACCCAGTGAAATACGGCTCCTTACTTGTCGGTGAAGAATTCTGTAATCTTGTGATTCTGTAGCTGGCATTGGTTTGCCAGTTTCAAGAAGAACTGATGTATTTGTATAAAAATTTCAATGACATTCTGCTTACTTACTATTTCTACAACTTTTTTGTTTATCTCAAATCAAATACAATTTTAGTGGAATTTTTTCTTAAAATATAAGTTCAACGGCCAGAAAAGTGAAGTTCGTCCAAAATTTATTCTGCTTAAAACTGGCAAACTAATGAGTTCAGCTTAAAGTGAAAAGCTTTTTAAACGTTTCAACAAGAAAAAATGTTAAAAATTTTATTAAAAATTTATAAATGTGCCATGTTTGCAATGACAATGACAAATAAAATAAACCACATTGACAGTGCAAATCACAATATAATTTAGCTAAAAAGAAAAAATTGTAACTTAATTTATAAAATTCTAAAAATTAATGTTCTAGAAAATAATATAGTATTATAAATCACAAGTAAACAACATAAAAATAAAATGTTTACGGTATCTTAAAATATAGGTAGTCACTGTATAGTCACCATAGTTATAACAGGAAATGTTTATGTGGTTTATATTTATTTCAATAATAAAGAATGATAACTAAATGATTGTTATAATAAATAAATTCACGTAGGCTAAATTTAAAGCAGACATATACAAAAATTACTAATTTGATTACATTATTTTCAAACAAATTATCTGAATTGACTTGCTGAAAGTACTTCAACTACTAATTCATAAACTTTTTTTTGTTGTCTTTGCAGAAGATCACACGTCAATACAAATTGGTGGACGTCGAAAATCACATAAGAAAATAGAGAATCGTCGATCTAAAAGTAATATTAGAAATCGACCTAAAATTGCACATATATCTACAATTGAAGAAGTTACAAGTCCACCATCAACATCAGAATATCATATTGTTGATTTATCAAAAGAACAAACAAATGAAGAAAAATCAAATGTAGATAGAATAGAAGAAGTTGAAGATACAAAATCGGAGAAAAGAAATAAATGGTGTCCCTGTCCTGCTAGTATAAGAAACTATTTTCAGAGATGTAAGTTGAACGCAAACTACTTTGATTTCTTATTAAATGTAGTAAAACACTTAGCAAATTCAAAGCATTAATTAAGCAATTTATTTATCTTAATCTTATAGTTTGGAGTAAAATGTCTGGCGCTGAACATAGTGAAGAAGAAGGAGATGGAAATAAATATGATTACTATGACTGTAAGTGACGTCATTCTATATTTTTTTTTCAAATGTATAATAATTTTATAATGAATTCAAAAATAATGGTTAGGTAGCAGCCAACAACCACCATATCGAATTTCTATATTCGTGAATCTATTTGAAAAGTCTTTTCGTAATTTGCGCGATAAAATTTTGAGAGGTTTTTCCTAATTTGGGGAACTTACTAAAATTAATAATATTATTCTAAGTTACTTTTACGAGTTAAAGTTTTTATATGCACTGCTTTTGTTGAACACTTAATGGTTATTTTTAATTTATAGTCAAGTATAGTACTGCATAATTAACAAGCAATCAACAAACTATACAAAATTAGAAATATGGAAATATAAGGTTATTCTGTAAGCTATTTTAATGACTATCGTGTTTGTTAAGCACAGGTACGATTAAAAATTAAATAAGGCCTTGAAATTATCGTTCCATATAAATTAAATTTAGCGGCCAATATTAAACCTCAAATAACAAGATTAAAATAACCATCTTATTTTATAAACTTTTAATTAATTAATACAAAACAACATATTGTAAATCTTTTCGCTAGTTATTTTTAAACACATATATTATGTTGTGATTTTATTTATAAATCCTTGCATAAACATAATGTATCTGTGGTTATAAAGCGAAACTGCATAAGTTGACTTCGCAAGTATTAAATCCGAAATATTTTAATATTTAATATTCCCTGCTTTAAAATCTGCAATGCAGTCCTTGATATAGGCAATTCAAAATTAATCAAATCTAAATGAATTGGAAAATTTCAACAAATTATATTTTAGAATAACACGGTACTATTAAAATTAATAAAGAACTTAAAAATGTTAAGCAATTTAATTATTCAGCTACTTTAGAAAGAGCTACTTTAGGAATTTCTTCAAAAATTAATATTTTTATACCTGATTATTTTGTATTACTAATTTTGACTTGCTACAGATTATTTAAGTATAATGTACTTTATATGTACATAATGTGTATATGGTATATATGTATACAAACTAAGTTAAAAAATCAACAGATGATATTCTTTGAAATTGCAATTAAAATTTATGATTGTATATAAATTTTGTGAACTAAATTATAGAATTTAATTAATAATATTTGGAAAATATTTTATTTATGTAATCTTTAATTTTTAATATTCTAATAGTTGTCAACAAACTTTTTACATTTGAATTCCCAATTGAGGAATATTTTGATATTCCTGCTGTTAAGTACATATAATATGTATTACAAATCACAGAGGGAATTCAAAGTAATAGTAAGTTTATTAAAATATTACATTGATCCTTTTAATATAATAAATTTATAATTTATTTATCTTAATAATAAGCTCTTAAAAATCCTTTGAATAATCTATATTTAGAACATGTTAAATTCATAGAGCTGGAAAAATTAAATGAACACCTTTTTGACATGTGGTATTATAAGAAGGCATTAATGAAAGTTGAAATAATATTGAAACGATTGAGTTAAAATTTAATTATTATGGTTCATCATCACCGATATAGCTTACAGCAAACAAAAATTTTGGAATATTTATTCATTATACGTTGTCAGGGGATAACAATTTCGAGTAAAAGTAAAAAAGTTTTTTTTTTTTTTTTTTTGAAATTTAACGATATTCTTATTTCGAAAGGTTAAAATATCACTTTTGTTCTAAAAAAAATCCTGAAATCAATGCCATAAGTCCTGTCTTTCAATATCCTATGAAAGACGGGCGCCCGCGGCTTTAAAGAAAAGTAAATGGTGTAAATTTTGTATAAAAACCGATAGAAAGATTTTGAAAAATTTGGAGAATGATTTTGCTAAAAGGCCATTCAGAAGCTTTCCCGATAAGCAGGAGGATATAAAAATTGACTTTTGTGTTACATTAAACTGTAAGTTATCAAAACACTTGTATTATTTTAGCTTGCGTGATACAAATTACCAGTTCATCTACGATTAAATCATGAGTTAATAATAAATTTTCATAAGTTAGTTTACGATTAAGTCTGAATCTTATGAAAATCTGATGTGTAATCGAAGCCTGACATCAGATAAAATCTGAGAAATAAAATAGAAACTTATCCGATTATCATCAGATTTTCTATTATAGATTTTTATAAGTAATATGGCGAAAAATAAATTTTTAAAACGGTTTTGCCACGACCAGTTAATTTTTGTTATTTTTTTTTAATTTTTGTTGTCCGTTTAAAGATTGCAATTATTAAAAATTGTATAATTAGAATCTCACGTTAAAATACTTATCAGATTTTATCGTAGATTAAATCGTAGATCTAGTCTAATATGTAACTTACACCTAAGATATAAAAGAATAAGTTGTTGGCCATAATTGAAGTTATGATAAAAAATATACATTTTTTGTCGTCAGACTGAAAATATAAATAATTTAATCTACCATTATCAAGTAACTTTTTCAGCTCTTATTTCGGCTTTTATTTGACCATGTCCTTAGTTTATTGAGGAAATAGAATAGATGATCTATTCAAAAAAGTACAATGGAAGATAATATTATAATACACATACTTACATCTACATATAAATGTATCCATTTGAATTATAATATAAAATCATTATGGTATTTTTCTATAAGCGTATGATGGTATCTACCTTAACGTTACAAATAATTTTCGATAATTTTCTATTTATAAAGGATAAAATGTTACAATATATTTATAGATTTAGCTAAAAAAGGATATCGATGAAGAATTTTATTGATATACACAAATCTTATAGACATATTCATAAAATACCAGAGAAATAAGGTACAGGAGTGTAGAAGAATAATCACAAAGGAAGTCTTTTTGAACTATAATGATAATATATAACTTTAAATAATAAATTTCTATTGATTTTACAATACACATACTTAATATAAAGAAATTATTAATAACAAATTATTTTAAATAAGTGTCTGAAGTGAAAAATTAGTGGATCGAGATGAAGATTTACAATAAAAATAATGATGAAATGTTTTGATTTACATGCGTCAATTAAATGTTTTCTTCAGAAAAATTTTTGTTATATTCCGGCATTATTAAAAATAACTTGTGTAAATAAGTATAAAAATTAAAAATTATTTTTAGAATTTTTGAAATGGTTCATTAAAATGAAAATGGGTTTTATATTTTTATTTTGTAGTTTTGAATGAATTAAAAAAAGTATTCTGTGTGAATGAACGATTTTTAAGCGCATTGATTATGCTCATTTACAATTAAATCAACCCAAGTTATAAAATAAAGCTAAAACTTTTATAAATTTTGAAAATATTGCAATAGCATTCGGGAACTCAAAAAATAGTATTTTCTGCTGTTGTAATCGAAATATTTTTAACAAATTCTTTATCATATAATAGTGAGCAACTAACAAGAGTTTCTTATGTTTCGGCATTTATAGTGCTTCTGTTGCTTTATGCACTACACAACTAAGATTTCAATTTTAACGAAAAGATTAGATTTTACGTAAATGAGAAGAGTTAAGAGTTCTTCCTAACCTTTAATTTCTTGGGATCTCGAGTTTGCATACCACAGTGAAGTGGTTTGTTGACGTACATTAGTTTTATTTTACTAATAAAGAGAACCAATAAAATTAGATTAACAAAATTATATAATTTTTCTACATTGTAGACAAGCATCATTTACTAAACTTAAAAATTTGCAAAGCAAATTAAACGACCATCTAAAAAAAAAATTAAGAAGGTCTAAAAACAGTTATAATACTAGAAATTGACGAAGTTTTTTAAATACAAATGCTTTTCAGCATACAATTCTTTTCATTTTTCTAATATTGCAAGTTAAATTTATTCTATCGAATCAACAAAGTCAAATCAATTTTAATAAGAAACCATACCAGTTAATTTGATTTTTTTACATTATACTTAAGCAATAACCTACTTATAAAATAACACAAGCCCTCAAAAAAAACATTCTTAAATTCTGAGAAATTCAATTTATGTTTTTTAATAAAATTCTATAATATTTTTCGACACCCCATATAAATAAAAAAGCATTAAAATTTTAGACGCATTTTTTACATAAAAATTAAAAAAAAAAAATTTCTGAATCCTTTTTGAAGGATTTTTATAAAATGGAAGAATTAAAGCTGAAAATATAATAAAAATTTTGGAATTTTCAATAATATAATTTAAATAAATCGCGCTAACCTTGAATGAAAATTTTGTAATATTCGATTGCTTTATTAGAAAAAGAAAAGAGAAAAACATTGAACTTGAAAAAGTTAGATAAAATGACCAATAATTTATTGTACCAAATGGGATTTTATAACAAGGCTGTTTGAATTTTGAAAAAATTATTTGAATCTTCTTTCAAAAGAAAAACTAGATTTAGTTAAAAGCCCGGGTAATTTACGAAATAATTTACGTAAAATTGTAAACTCTCACCCAAAAAATATTTGCAAAAAATTTTAAATAAATTTGGGTCAAACTAATGGTTTGTAATGCAGCACTTTTCCTTCCTACAACAGGTTAAAGTACTATTTTTAAAAACGATCAATATTACACATTTATTTTTAGGATTTTGAATGGCTATAACCTTTGCGGTACAGAGGGGTGGGGGTCGAGTAAAAATTTTCTCTTACGGAACTAAGTTTAATAGTGAAAATCTATGTATAGATGAAATTTCAGCTTTCTCTCTTTAGAAGTTTTGTAAATGTGTTCGCAGACGGACGGACGGAGTGAAATTAATAAGCATTTTTTTCCAAAATTATTTGTAAAAGTGATAAAAATCAAATTTTCTTAGAGTATTTGCTTGAAAATCAGCAAATTCTTACGTTGTATCCAAAAAATATGTTGCTTTATGTTAATTCACACATATTGTCGGTAACGTATGAGAATGAGTAACAAACTCGAGAAGCATATACCAGTGACAAATTTCTATATACTAAAATTTTAAATTTTCTCTTGTAAAAATTAAATGCTGTTGAAGTTTAAAACCAAACTGAAACTTTTCTATTAAATCTCTTTGCAATAACATTTTTTATGAGAGCCTCATAAGTTTACCACTAAGTTATTATGCACTATAAAAGCATGGCTTCAAGAAACAAATCTATGAAACGATGATAGCAAATAGAAGATTTTTAAATTTTGCTGCAAAGATAACTTTTAAATAGATTTATTGTATAAATTACAAAGAAATTGAAAAATTTGAAACTCTATTAGACAAATATAATTCAAGATTTTCTCAAATTAAAAGTAATGAATGATATTGTCCAATAAAAAACTTCAATGTTTGCATGAAACACGATGTAATGAATTAATTCCTACCTTGCATGAGAGTTTAATGAGCAAGTTCGTATGTTTTTATTTATAGGCAAGATTTTGTACGCTTATTTTTCATTGTTTAACAAAATATCTAAAGGTATAAGGTAGCATTGTGCTTGATCCCTTCAATCCCTTCTAATAAAAAGCTTTCTGATAAATCAATAAGACACAATACTCTAACAATATACAAATATTACATTTAGATTTTGTTCGAATTTTTAGAATTTGGAGATCATTTTTTATGGAAATTTTTTTATTTGTTTAGGAGAAGGGAAGACAATGTCTACATTAAAATTTATAAATATTTTAATTTCCACAAGAATGTGCAGGTGTGTTTGTGTATTTGAATTTTACCATTGCGATTCTTTTCATTTGAATCTATATTCAAAATATTTGTTAGAAAGAAAAAATACAAAAAAAAATCTTTTTGATTTATGCTTTTGCAAAGTAAAAGAGGCTTTTCTTTTTTTTTGTTCCATTTTAGACTCATTTGTACTTTTGTTCGCGGTTCTTTTTCGTGTTGTTTTTATTTTCAGGTGAAAACTCATTTCGATTTTTAATCTATGTGGCGTCTTTCGGACTGAAATGATTTTTATTTTATTATTTTCTTTTTGTTTTGTTTATTAAAATATGTTTGCATTTTAAATTTTAAATTTTAAATTTTTTCTTTTATGCTTGTAGTTAAAAATAGAAAAAATTTTTTTTTGGGTATTTTAAAAAATATTGTTTTGAAGTTAAAAGCAACTTTACAATATTGTAAACTAAGGTAGTTATGGATGCAACATGTTGGCCGTCTAAGTTTTGTGGTTTTTTTCGAATAAGGGTGTAAATTGTTTTGATTCTTTTTTTTATTAAGTATTCATTCAGAGGCATGGGAAATACTTCGCTCTATGTATCTGTATATAAAGTTATCTTAAAACAATTTATGCATTTCGGAATCGTTACATTATTAAAAAATTATCATTTCTTACCAATTGCTGACTGCTTATAAACCGTTTAGCACAGAAAGCTCACATTTTCGAAATTTTTTGTATTTTTAATTAGATAGTAACGCTCACATTTTGTAAATTAATTAGATAGTCCGGTTGACATATGGGTTGGCTCGCCTTGTACCAAATGGTGAATTTTTACAACTGACATGAAAAATCATGGTACTCGTATAGCTGCAATACAATTCTAAAAATATTTCAATAATGTCTTGCATACTAGAGAATTTAAACGTAATCGAATTTCACATAAATGGCTTTAGTAACATATAAATAAATCTTTTAGAGATACCAAATTCAATTAAAGTAATGACTAAAACTTCAAATAAGTTTGGGACATTATTCATCATATATCAAAAAACTATCTTTGACTAAAATATTTTTACTTTTCTTTGATACAAAAATCCGAATTGTAAAAAAACCTCAAAAGCCAACAAAAGTTAATATTATCAGTCAATTAAAAAATTATTTACGGCGAGGCGCTCAATTTATATTAAGTTTACCACATTTTTAGTAACGTAAGAAACGTCGTTTGTAAGAGGTTTATCGGTAAAATTATTTCTTCTACTCATAAAAGCAGTTTAATAATGAGGAGACAAGGAATTTATATAGATGATCTTAGTTTCTATTTAAATTTCAACAATGATTTTAGTTTCTATAAATATTCAGATTTTAAAATAAATAACATGCGCTTTGAAATTCCAGAAAATTTATGTTAGTTAGTGGTCTAGTAATCGATATATTGCAGGCTAAATTGACTCTAGTTATATTTTGAGTTTGCCCAATATTTTTAAATCAAAGATAAATAATATTAAGATTCCAAAATTTTCTATCTCAACTCCTAACCCAAACCACGTACGAATACAATTTATCTGATTTTTTTGAAAACTTAAACAGTAAATATAAAATAATGGCTTTGAAATAACCATAATCAAACATTAGACAGTAAAGTATTTCCGCTTCTTTTAATTTCACCTTGATTTAAAAAAAACTATATTGAAATGGTTTCTAATATCTTTAATCCTTTAACGTAATAATTGTGTAAAACTGAAATGTATAAATTTGATAAAAATTAAATTGTTCGTTCGAAAATTCCTTTTTCAAAACCCAAGACGAAACTGAATATTTTCAAAAACCCGTTTTCTTAAAATTAAAGAGTTAAAAAAAATTAATTCCACCGAAAGATTTCTTACATACACACGCTCACACAAATAACATACATACCCTTATGTATCATAATATAAAAATATACAACAATTATACAAACACAAATAAAAATACATAAAGAATAAAAATAATAGCAAAACAAATTTCATTTTGCACATTAACAAGCATTCATTTTCAAGTACACAACTTACACACATTTATGCTTATAGTATCTATCCCTACGTTTATTTCTCCAACATAACAGTAAAAGAAAAAGTTAAATTTCACTGCAACT